GACACAAGCCTGGCCCGTGGGACGTGGCGCCAGTGGACAGACGACGCCCCCTCTGTCCCGGGCGGAACGGTCTGAGCCACCTTCTCCACGCACTGGGAGGGGCTGGGGACTGACTCTGCGACAGTTAACTTCGATGTCCGCCCGCAGGGTGCTTTCGGATGAGGTCAGTGTTAACACGGCCAACTCGGGGTACAGCAGAGTGCCCTCCACGACACGGGTGGGCTTCACCCAATCACCTGGGGGCCCGAATGGCACAGACTGGCCTCCCCGAGCAAAGCCGCCTCTGACTCCCTGTGCCCCCCAGGGTCCCGGGGACCTCTGACCGCGGGGCACTGCCGTCGGGCGGTAGCTGGTACAAGAAAGGATGTCTTGAGCGGAGGAGCTTGGCCAGGAGGCGGCCCAGTGATGGGGGGCGCCGGCCCCACGGAGCAGACCGCTGCTGTAGCGACCGGAACGGCGGTGCTCCCCAGGTTCCTCGTCTCTTCGCCTGGACGGGGATGAATGTACACACAAAATTTCCCTCTTCAAACCCAGACTATCTGGTTTTTATTACTACCAGCACCGCCTTCTGAATTATTTTCTTAAATGTATCTTATCAATGAAGCCAGGTGGCTTTCCCTAAACAAGTAAACTTTTACCCAGGGCCGGCACTGGCCTCCTGAGGATGATGTGACCAACTACAGTAAGTCCTCCCTCAAGGCCACCTGTAGGTTCTGCAACTCTAAGTGACAGCATATAAGGAAACCAGTTTTACCACCGGCAAATGGGCATACACGAGAGTTAAGTTCCTGCAGCATCTCATCAAAGTTACGAAATGTTATTTATTCGAGGACCTGGTGCATCAAACTGGCTAGGTCAAAACCAGAGAAGTTCATTCTCCTGCCGTTCTGGAGGCCGGAAGCCCGAACCCCAGCAAGGCCTCGCTTCCCCCGACGGCGAGGGGAGAACCCTCCCAGCTTTGCCGCTGCGGCTCCGTTCTCTCCCGGTCTCCACATGCTGTCCCCCTCCTCCCCTGATAAAGAAGGCAGTCCCTGCGCTCAGGGCCCGTCCGGAAGGTCCAGGGTCATTGCATCTCCAGGGCCTTTTTCCAAATAAGGGCGCACTCACGGATGCCACAGATAGGGACGTGGACTTGCCTTTCGGGGACTGCTACCCAGCCTACTTCGGCCCTGAAAGGGGTAATATTCCTATTGGTCTGTCACCAAAACCACCTCTGGGTAATTGAACAACAGTTCAGACCTGCGAAGCCGGGGGCTAGGCCTTGGGCAGGAAATGAATCTGGTGCCACTCTTTGACCTTACCACGAGCCAGCCCCATCAGCTTTTTCAAACAGTCTTTCCAACCTGAGACCACACGGCATGCACATCCCTACGGGTGTTTCGATAGTGCTGCATGTGCGCCCGGAACCCACTTACCTCCCCTTCCTTGCCAGATGGGTCCGTTCAAGTCACAGCCCGCAGAAAAAGTATGTGGCAGGGGGTGCTGGGGTGGCAGGACAGGACTGGGGTGGCAGGCGGAAAGAAGGCTGAGAGCGCGAGGGCCAGACACCAAGGAAGCGGCGCACGGGTCACAGGGGAAAGCGGCGAGGGGGTTGGCAGGGAGAAGCAGTGACGGACCGGCATGGAGGACCGCGGGCTGGTTTAGTTCAAGCCTCAAATGCTGCGTTCCCGTTCCACTATTCCTAGGAGCGCCACCCTCGACAGCACCCAGAGAGCGCCGGCTCACAGGAGCCCGCCAACACCGCTGGGCACTTGTAGGTGCGAACAACCAAGGGGAAAGGGGTCACGTTCAAAAGGCTTTAGACGTGGGGGTGGGGACACGGAAGGGTGAACGGGTTGGATCTCTTCGTGGGCACTACAGACTGTAGGTCCGCTCTGGCTCCGTCTACAGCTTTTCTCCGAGACCCGCACCCCCGGCTCCTGGCCTTGCAGCACCACCCCGTCCTCTCCCATCTCACACAGCCTGCTCCTCCTGGGGGGTCGTTCAGCCCCAGGCCTGTGATCGCCTCCCTGCTCACCTCCCTGCGCTGAAATCCACCATGTACTATGCAAGTCAGCTCAAGTGCTATTATATAAGGAAGTCTTTTTTATTTGCGTCAGAAAGACATCAACTAACTTATGTTACAATATATTTTTAACACAACTTTTGTGATTAAAAAGCCACATTTCAACAGAAGAAATGGGAACATGGGTCTATCACTCCTTAGGCTGTGTCCCACAGAGGGCAGCATCCTAGATATTTTCGACTGAAGAAACATCCAAACCTGCAGACAATTTCTGAGTTTGTCTGAGCCAAACTGGTGACAATCGCCAGGAAGCTAAGTCTCGCCGGACTGAGAAACGCTCTGCAGAACGAACGGCAGCTCTGCAGCCTATCCCACACGTCGGGGTCAGAGGAGGGGACGTCAGGGGTCACCTGAAGTCCACTGATGGTAGGTCAGGGAGGCGGTGGAAGGCAAAGAGGGGAAACCTCTGAGACCGAATAAAAAGTAAAATGAAGAGACGCTTGTTTATTGGTGGGTACAGGAGAGTTAATATTTAACATCACAGCACGTGGAGATGGCATGTGGGCAACGAGAGAGCAATGAGGGACTCTGTGGCCCCTGCTCTGGTGGGGGTTGTACTGCCCTGAGGGGTCTGGAAAAGGGGGTTATGTTGACTTTCCAAGGATGTGTGTGATCTTAGATGCAAAAAGACAACAGACAGGCTGACTGACGGTCAAGGCTGACTGATAGTCAAGGCTGACCTTTGTCAAGGAAGCTGCAGGCCTAGGCTGTGACTACATGCCAGGACCTTTTAGTTAGGAATTTCACATTCAGAACACCCTGTGTGTTTGTTTTCGGTCTCTGAGTTCTAGGGCCCGCGGCGCAGACCTCTCCTGGGCTTGTCAGGACTGTGCATGGCCCTTTTGTCCACAGTCATAACAGCAGCTGACTGATAATTATACTTTGACGTTCACAGCAAAAATTACCCGTTTCTAAGGGCACTAGAAAACAGTTTGAGATGAATAAGCCTCAGAGACAGATCCAAATATAAGGTTCAGAAGCCGTTAGACAGAAGGGAACTCGGAAAAAGAAGGGTCTGTCCATTTGGGAACCAGTGGCGTGCCCACCACATCCTAAGGATGGTGAAGCAGGAGATGAGGCCGGGGGCTGGGAGAAAGGCGGCTAGAGAGGGCTAAGCGGTGAGGATTTAGAGCCGTCACTGTGGAGTGTGGGAAAGCTGACCGCAACAGGCAGAAGAGACAGAGGGACAGCTGTGGCTCTCCAGCCAAATTGGTGGGGTCCCCCCAAGCAGGCATTTGCTGTTGAAAGGGCCTGTGGAGTGGGGCGACGCTGGGCTCCGGACCCAGCTCTGCCACTGACCCACCGGTTGGCTTCGGCAAGCTCTGCATGATCCCAAAGGGTCTGTATTGTAAGTTCTGTTGGCGTTGATGAAAACAAAGACACTGGCCTTGGCTGGGTAGCTCAGTTGGTTGGAGCACTGTCCTGATATTTGAGGCTGTGGGTTCGATCCCGGTCAGGGAAGAATCAAACAATGAGTGCACAAATAAGGGGAATAAATCGATGCTTCTCTTTCCCTTCCCTTCTCTCTCTCTCAAATCAATAAATGAAATGTTTAAACAACAAAAAGACATTGAAGTGCATGCCATAAGGATCCCTTTCTGCAATACACTGTTAGTTAACGTTCTCTCGACTAGTTGTACGTATGGTTCTCATTATTCCATCCAACTCACCAACAGTGTGCAGGATAAACACCTGACACGGTTCCCTGGCTGGGGGTTGAACCCCTGGGCTTTTCGCTTCTACCTCAGAGAAGCAGCAAAAACATCTGGCAACATCTTCCTTCTGGATGTCTGGTCTTAGGGAAAGGAAACGTAATGGCAGGGAATAAATCTTTTTCTTGTATGTCCAGAGCAGGGGCCACTTTTTATTTTATTTTTTTTACCTTTTATGCATTCGATCCAGTATCTAAATAAGAAGTCCTTAACACATGGGTCCATGGACAGGATTTTAGAGAGGGTTCATATAAACACCCGGAAATTACACGCCAACTGGTTTTCCCACACGCATACTTGCAAAAACTGTCTTTGCATTTTCAGGTATAGCCACAAACGCCTGTTCGCCAAATGGTTAAGAACCACTGCTCTAAGAATGTTCCTTTTCTGAAGCAAGTTTCTAATTAGCTACTGACGGGTCTAAGTCCCGTAGTGTCTCATGGCTGAGAGCCTTCACCCTTAGTCAAGAACTGGGCAAAGCCGAACTGCCGTGTACAGCTTAACCCGCAGCCTGAAACGCTCCACTGTAACACAGAACAAAAACACTAGCACAGGAACCGTGACGCTGGACCGGGGTGTCGGCGCCAGTTTCGACACGCGCTTCGCAGGCTTCACCTCCGTTGAGTCCAACTAGGTGCACAGTGTGGGGCACGTTTCTTCACCCCAGTTCACCCACCACGGGAAACAAACGAATGCAGGCTGTTGGGCAAAGGGTCCATGCCTCCTCCACCAACGCCACCCTCCTGGGCCGCAGCCAGGCGCGTCGCAGGTGACCACGTGGCAGGGCCACGAGGCAGCTCGCAGGGTCGAGGTGGCGGCGCCAGCTCCCCACGTGACGCTCTCCCAAAGCCACTCACATTTCCCGGACCACTGCCAGTTTCCTCGCAGCCCTGCAGCCCTGCACACGGAAACCAGGAGCCGCGGGATCACTGCCCAACCCCCCGTGTCCTGCGCGCCTCGTGTAGCACAGGTCCCACAGCCCCGCAGCAGGGACCGTGCGCGCGCGCGAACGCCTCAAACGCGTACGGCGGCCGACATGCGACCAATGTGCGTCAACTCCAGCCGCGGGCGCCGGCTCCCCGGCTGAGGCAGGCGCGCGCATGCGTGAGACTGGGACGCTCCTCCCGGAGACGGTTTCCAAGCAGTTGTGCGACTGCGCAGCGTGAGGCCCACTGCCCCCCCCGAAGGAGGGGCCGCTGACCGCAGCTCCGGCGCGCTTGCGCGGTAGCTGGACGCGGGCGTTTCTTTCCTCCCTTTTTCCGAAACTGGGTTCGAGGGGTAGATTCGACTTACAAAATGGCGGCGCGGGCCGTGTTCTGCGCGGATCCCCCGGCAATTTCCAGCTGAGCGGGTAGCTGTCCCCGTCCCTGCCGACCGCGGAGAGACGAGGCCCTCAGGGGGTATGGTGTTTGAGACTCGGGGCTTGCTGGTCACCGAGTCCTTCGAGAACCTCGGCGCGCCGGAAGCGGCCAGGTGCTCCCCCCCGGCGACGAGCCGCCTCTGCACACCCGAGCACCTTCGCCGCGCCAACAACCCAGCGAGTGCCGCGGCAGCCGCCCGGGAGGTGAGAGGCGGACCGGCTGAACCGGAGGGGACGGAGATGGGGACCAGCGCCAGAGCCTGGGCGCCGGACCTCCGGACGGCCGGGCGGGGGCCGGGGCGGCCTGGGGAGCAGAGCCGGATCGGCATACGGGACCTGGGTCTAGAAGGGGCCTGGACCCTGGGGAAGGAGGAGCCGGAATGAAGGACTCAGGCTGGAGGATGGGGCGCGCGGGGCGAGGGGGAAGCTCGGGAGGGTGGGGCGGGATGACAGCAGCCACGCAGTCCGGGGTTGTTTGTGATGTCGGGCCGGCCTGCTGGGGCTGCGGGGTGTCCGATCTGGCTAAGGCTCGCCCGGGTGCTGGGCCCTGGCGGGGGCCGGAGGCAGGCCGCGGCTGCCCTGACAAGGCCTTCTGCTTCACTTCCTCCGGTTTCTCTCGGTACTTCTGTCCCCTTCGCCCTTCCACCTGTCTCTTCTCGCCCACTTCGGCCTGGCTTCACTTTCTTACTGCGTTTCCAGGCCATTGATCTTCCTGTTGCTTTGTTCCTTTAAGAAAGAAGCAGTTTTGCACCCCCACCCCCACCCCCACGTTCGGTCTCCGGGGTCCAGCCCTTGTTCTCTTTCCCCTCGGGGCACCGCACCGTAGGGTTCGCGAGCGTGGACTCAAGTTCAGCCCCGCGGGCTGGGCAGGACCGGATGGCAGAGACCACATGCCCTCCCTCCAGTTACCAAGTTTCGATTTCCCACCACAGTGCTCCCCTGAAATCATCTCATCACTTGATGCCTTTTAACCACAAGCCCAGACGTTTTTTTCAAGTCCCTAGAAGAATAGCTCATAAGACGCCCAGGGTGCCAGGCCTTATTTTAAGTCCTTTATAGGAATGTTTTTTCCTCACCTTGCATAAAAAGTTACTGTCTGAAATGTCATGCTTTGAAATAAAATGAATTGAAGCTTGGCTCCTAATTCAAGTAAATTCTCTTCTTCCATAGTAGAACTTTTAAGGTTTGGAGGAGGAAGTAGTATTTTATATTGTGTGCTTCTAACAAAACTTGCTTCTTTAATATTTATTAGGCCCTTCCTCTGTTCCAGGCACTATTCTAGACTAAGTTCTTTGTGTATCTCATTTACTTTTCATACCTCCCTGTTCTAAAGGTGAAGAAACTGAGGCACAAAAATTAAATCACTTGCCCCTGGACTCCTGCAAGAAAATGGAGAACTGGAGTGCGGGCCTCTTACCGTGGTGGTTTTCAAATGCGCAGCGCCCCACATCACTGCTTCCCCCGCAGCTAGAGCGCCTGCCGCCGCCGGGCGGGTCCGGGCAGCGCGCAGCCCGCAGCCCGCAGCCCCTTGCCCTCCGGTTAGGTGCTGATGGGATGACGTGGTGGAAGATGACGGCTTGGCCGCGATGATTATCGCTTCCACTGTGCGCTTGAGTTAAGAGGTTAAAGTTGTACTTTATTACAGTGTTTGCACTTTCAGCCGCACCTCCTTTTTCCATTTAACGATAAGTTATTCACAATTAATAGTTAATAGCAACAGTGGCTATTTCACCTTCTCCCCTTTCTGCCCTCTGGTGGAAGTGTTGGTTACGGAACAGCGAAGTGGCCAAAGGAGTGCCTGCAGAGACCTAGGCTGGGACAGTTCAAGTTCAGTAAGGGGTTATGTGCAAAGTCCATTGCTGCTTTTTGTTCGGATTTCAAAAATTAGTAGCAAAACTTGGCCAAAGGTCTGTGGGGAGACTTTAAAAAAAGGATTCAAGGATTATTAGGATGGTATTCGAAGCTGAAAACTCTTGTGTAATTACAGGGGTCAGATTTTGGAGCACTTTGGAATGTCATCGTTTGAATTTTACTCTGTGGACACTGAGATATGTAGTTTGTGCCTTCATGACCGAGAAGTTCCAGAACGTACTCGGCCTCGTGGTGCTGAGGGCAGAGTAGGAGGGGAAAGACTCTGGGGAAGGGTGTGAGCTCCCCCCCTCCCCCCGACCTACTAGGCACGTTCCTGGCCAGGGGAGGGGGCGGAGGAAGGGGAGGGTTTGGGCCTGTTGAGCTGGTGAGTTAGGGCCCTCAAGTGGAGCTCTCAGTTGATGGTTTTTGTTTTCGAAGGCAGAGGAAACAACCTAAACGGAGGGGCAGGTACCGGCACCCTCTTTGGCCAGGGCTCAGGTCCTGGCAGAGACAGCACTGCCAGTCCCGTCGCCTCCCCTGCCTGCCCTGTGGTGCACTGCTGTGACGGGGTCAAGCTCATGGCTTATTTTTGAAGCGGCCATAAGTTCTCAGAATGTTAACCCATTTATATTAATTGCATTTTGAGCTTTTACACTGCAGTATGCAGTTTGCGGTAGTTAATGTTCGGTCTTGGGAAATGCATTCACCGCGGCCCATGGCCCAGGGAAGGGGACCTGTGCTTGGAGGTGGGACCAGTGCCTCGTTGGAAGTCCTGCCCGAAATGGGCTGCTTCTCTGGGTCACCTCGAAGAGAATTTTAAGTAGCAAAGAGGCTTTGTCTGCAGCAGGACTATGGTTTGCATGGAATAAGTTAGTTGAGCACTTCTTTACTATATACATACGGTATTTAAGATGTCAGGTTTTAGAAACGTCCGTTGAGGTGGCATGTTAATTTTCCCCGGAGAGGGCTGGTTAGAGCGGCTCAGAGCGCGCAGTGGGCCTGCGCGGGCCCGCCCTGCCCTGGGTCTGACAGCCGGGCGCCTGGGGCTCCTTCGTAAAGGTCTCCACTGTTCCTGGTGGTATCAGGAATGGTTTTATCTCATTTCATGCCGGAGCGAGTTTTAAAAGTCTCTGAGAATGATCTCTTGGTCTAGAAAAGCAAACGTTTTACTTCTAACCTTTTTACTTTTAGGGTCGCAAAAATGGCCAAAAGAATCGCCGAGAAGGAACTGACAGATAGGAACTGGGATCAGGAAGATGAAGCAGAAGAGGTAGGACAGTTTCCCTGGGGCGTTTCCCACTGTTCCCCAATGAAGACTCGGTTCCTCGGGAAGCCTGTGTAGGTGAGGGAAGGCCTTTCTGAGGCCGCGCTGCACGGGAGTTGCAAGGTCTCCCCGCCTGTGCTCCTGTGGACGCTTGTGAACTGCATTGAGGTGCCTTGCCCCCCGCCCCAGTCCCTGCCCCGAGTCCCCGCACGCTCCACTCCTTTGAGAAGCGCCCGGCTCCTGAGCTGCATGTGCTTGCGGCACTCCGGACGCGTGACTCCGTCGGGGCTGAGGGCCAAGTCCGTGACCGTGAGGTGACCCCGCGGAGTGGTGTCCTGCCAGCCGCCCTTCAGATTCCTGGAGGGTCAGGTCGCCTCGTGACGCTGATCTTCTCGAGACCAGCCTTACTTCCTGTTCTTGCAGATCAGAGACCCCCCCCCCCCAACAGTGGCATTAATAGGAGTAGAATTTAGGGTGGCCTAGTTTCGTTGCCATCAAAATAAGAATGGTCCTCCCTGGGGAAATTTTTTTTCACAGAGTAGAGCACAGCAGGTTGGTGCGCCCAGGCCAGCCTGTAACCAAGCTAGCCTTTCAGGTTGACAAAAGTGTCAAGTAAAAAATTAAAATTAAATGAAAGAACCTTCAAAAGTGTTTTTGAGCTTACTCTTAGAGTGCTGTTCTCTTTCTGAGTCTGTTTCCTAGTAACTAATATTTTTTCCTTTGCAAATACAGGTACACATACGGTTAGGGAAGTCAAAATCACAGACACGCTAATATTTTAACACGGCTTTTAACACACCTAACTGACGTGGTGCTTCTTAACCAAGACTCTGGTCACCGCGTATTTTCCGGGTCTTGCACACAGCTCCGTCCCAGGCCTGGCGAGCCCCAGGCTACCATATAAAGGTTTGCTTTGGCACTGAAATATCTCGGGAATGAAAGGAACTCCTGTTTGGGCAGATCCACAGGAATGAGCGTGGAAGGGCGTTCATTCCACGTGGGCAAATGTGACCGAGTGCTCCCTTCCAGGGATGCGGGGATCTCTCCGTGAAACGTTTCCTGAAGTAACTGTGGAACTTTCACAGAAAAGGTTTCACGCGATCCTGTGGGGTGGAGGGAAGGAGGAGCTGGAGCCACAGGTCCCTGGTGCGCTCCTCATGGTGGGCGGAGCGCTCGGGCGCCCTCTGGAACGCCTCCAGCGGCCACTTCGGGCCCCCGTGCCTCAGTGGTCTCATGGACAATGGGCAAGTGGTCAGAGCTCTTTTAAAAAGAGTGTGTGTGTGTCCTCCACGCAGATTTCGTTTTGGAAAGCGGCAGTGGGGCGGCACTAGATCGGGGCGCCTGGGTGTCAGAGCAGCTTGCCTTTCGTTAAAGCCTCTGAGTGCAGGGGAAGCGCCCGGGGACCGCGCCGCGTCATGGGCACCACCGCCTCGGCGGGCCTGGCCTGGCCGGACGTCCACGCGCACAGTCTTCTCTCTGCGCTTCAGGCCTTGGGTTCGTGGGCCCAGGGCCCTTCCGACTCGTCGGACTAGCGCTAGAACGGACAGATGGCAGACATGAGCTTTATCTCAGTGTGCCCACGCTGCCAGTCGTGTTACGGCTGCTAACAGCACTTGGAAACCGGCCGGTGCTCGGTCAGTTGGCCCGGCCCGGCCTTTCCTTCAGTGTCCGCTGTCCTTTCGGGCCTTGTCTTGCTGCCGTTGAACTTGTGTGCTCCCGCAGGTGGGGACGTTCTCGGTGGCCAGTGAGGAGGTCCTGAAGAACAGAGCCATCAAGAAAGCAAAGCGCAGGACTGTGGGCTGTGAAGTGAGTATTTCCCCCAGCTTTCCTCGGGCGGGGGGGGGGGGGAGTCAGCTCGGTAGACGCTGGTGAAAGCGCCGGCCCCACGTGTGCGTCCTTGGTGTGGTCCCAGAAAAGGGTGAACGCGACAGCCGGGCCTTCCCGGGGGCTGGCCCCGCTGCTGGAGAAGGCAGAACGTGGGCCAGTTGTCGAGGGAGGGGGTGAGGATGGCTGCCCGGAAGGCCAGAGACGGCGTGTCGGGTAGGTGTGAGAAGGGACAGGAGAAGCTGTTCCTGGAGTCCCACTCGACCTGCAGTCACGAGGTGGGGGAACCAGCAGTCAGCCCCGCCCACAGCTCACAGCCCTGCCGGGCGCCGGGCGCTGTCCTCGGCCCTGCGTGTCTGGCGGCCCGGACGTCTGCTGGGGGCGGGGTGCACCTGCACAGCCACTCCTGCTGCCGTGGCTCTTTTCAGATTTTTTATTTAAAAAGAAATTCCAAGTTCTTTTCTTGTCTAGCCTCATTCGGAAGACTGGTACTTAGTTGGATGTGGGTGTTAAAGTCAAGGGAGGTTCCATGGAGGAAGGGCAACTTGTTAGGGAGGAAATGGCTGCTTTCTGTTTGGGAATGTGGTCCCACGGCCCCGGGCCTGCGGGGCGGAGCTGTCTGGGCGGCTGCTCGGGACAGGAGCTGGGGCGAGAGGTGCTCGCAGCCCTGGGAGCTCCTAGAGGCGGGGGGAGCTCGGCCACACAGGTGCCGACAGAGGCCTAAGGGGAGTTCTCCAGGAGGATGGGGCCCCCAAGGGGAGATGGCCTCAGGAGAGCTGGCTGAGCTGTGGGCTGAACGGGGCGGAGAAGTAGAGGCCCCGCCAGCCTCAGGCCACACTCGGTGGAGGCGGGGGGCGGGGGCGTCCTCGGCTGTTAAAGGAAATGGATACACGTGGATAAATAAACATACGTAAGTATCCACATGTGGATGTTTGAAATCCACAGATACATGCAGCTACAACTTTTAGCATCAGATTTCTGTTAGAATTTGCGCATTCGAGGAGTTAAGTGTTGTGTGATGACACGCTTAGATGCTGAAGCGTCGCTCTCCCCCGGGAGTGGGTTTGCTCCTCTGCCCTGCAGACCCGCTGGGCGCTGGCGAGCAGTGGTGGGCGGGGGCGGGCCAGAGCAGGGCGTTTCCGTTGCCCTGGAGCCCAGGTGGACATCCGGTTCAGCTTTTTAATTCCGGTTGTGCTGAAGGTCTCACTCCTTTTTTCTTTTTTTAAACAAGTGGCTTTTGAATTTTTGCCATGATTCTAGAACCTGTTTGCTGTCAGTAATTTCCAAAACACCTATAAATACCATGTGGCTTTTAAACATCACGCAAAATAAAAGGCTCTGAAGAGCCGCCTTTCCGGGTTCTTTAAAGTAACAGTTCTGTGTATTTTGGACTTGGAATCGTCAAAAATCAAATTGAAAGCTCAGAACCTAAGCTATATTTATTACATGTATTAAAAGTCATACAAGTTAAGATTTGGCATTCTTTGCCAAGTTTTGTTGCCACGAGTTTATCAGCTGTCTGCAGCTGTCGGAGTTCCACAGATGTGACTGAACACTGGTGGTTTTGAGAACTGTGCAGTGGCGTGAGGCTGACCGGCCCGTTTAGAACAGGAAGGGTTTGCAGGGACAGTGATTTCCCCGTGAGGTCACGACGGTCATCGTGTGTGTGGGGGACCTGCAGCTCATGGGCTCTCCCGGGCTCCGGAAGCCTGCCCCCCGGGACCGAGTCCTGGGGGTGCCTCCTCCAGCCTCCCTGGCGTCCCTGGTCTGTGCTCAGCCCCGCCCCCGCCGCTTCATCGCAGCCTTGGGTGACGAAAGGGTCTCACAGGAATCGTCCTGACTTGGGCAAAGCACAGTAAACTGAGGGGGCCTCTCTCCGAAAGTTCTCGGGGACAGAGAGCAGCAGCTTCACAGTTTCCTGGGAAGTGCCAAGCGTTCCCGAGGCTTCGGGCTTAGAGACGGGACCAGGCGGCGGCGGTGGGAAGAGCCCGCTGGAAAGACCGGTGGGGGGAGCAGCGGGTGGGCGAGTCAGAGGGAAGGGCTGCCTCCGGCCTTCTCGGCTGCAGAAAATCCGGCCGGAGCGGCAAAGCCACCTTCCAGGGGTTTGTAGGCTGAGAGCAGGTGGGACGCTGTGGAACTGGTTAGGAAACTACAGGTTAAGTGGGTAAAGTACTGTCAGTTTTCCTAACTGGACCTTTGTGCAGCCTCGTTAGTCTGATTGTCGGTGAGCCGTAGGTGCACGGAAGATAGCTAGCGTGGGGCTCGGTCGTGCGGAGAGCGTGTGTTCAGTTCTCACGCCGAGTGCTGGGTCTGCCATCACCGCGTTCACGTTCTGACCTTGGGTGTCTCGCTGCCCTTGTCCTGACTCGGACAGTCTGGGACTCTTCCCGGGGCAGCCCCCGTCAGCAGGGCTGTGGCTGCGAGACCGCTCGGCCCCCTGCTGGGCTCCTCCGCGCTGTCCCGCCACGGCGGCAGTGGCAGCACGCACGTGCTTCTTGGTTATGGAACACTGTCTGATGTGCGCCCTTTCTCTACATTTCAGTCTGACAGCGGGGGGGCCTTTAAAGGCTTCAAGGGTTTGGTCGCCCCTTCTGGAGGAGGAGGGTTTTCTGGATTTGGTGCTTGTACCGGATCAAAGCCCCTGGAAGGACTGTCCAACGGGAACAGCGTGACCGGCGCCTCCCCCTTCTCCGGTGCCCGGGCTGCCCCCGAGACCAAGGCGGCCTTCGGTAAGTCAGCTCCCCTCCCCCCACCGACACCCGTGTCCAGGCGACCTGTGAAAACTGAGTTTACAAAGATGTTTTCCTTGTACTTAGCGTAGGTCCTGGGACTGTGTGAGCAAAAGCTAAGGGGGAAAGGGAAGGAAGTTCATGTTGGCTGTTCACGGATTTGGGTAGAGCACAAGCTTTTGAGCCAGAATAGGCCTGGGTTCTGTTCTCAGCTCTACTGCTTGCCAGCTCTGAGACCTTGATAGAGTTCCTTCACCTCTGGGCCTTCGGCTGGGCAATGAGAATGACCCTCAGCTGACCTAAGGGTCAGAGGGGGAGAGGAAGCTCTGGGCAGGGCCTGTGGAGGCTTGCCCTCCTGGCCCCTGGCCCCGCGCCGCCCGGACACCCAGGGCTCCTCCCGCGGGCGCGCGTCTTGCCCAGCAGATGTCGGTTGCCTGGTCTTGTTTTGAGAGGCGTGGTCAGAGTTTTGGGGATTCGCAACAGGGAACGGGGTTGCGGGCTAGAGTCCCGGGTTCTTGGAGGCGATTGTTGGGATTGTGCGCAGCCGGTTGTTGGAAACGTGCCCCGTTTCGTGTTCGTGAGGCAGGGTGGCTGGTGTGAGCGAGACGGGCACTTCCTGTTGCGGTGTTGACGGCGCTAGTGTACGCTCTGTCCCACAGTCCCAGGGGCTGAGCTTTACACTAACAGTGTTTGACAGTTCCGAGTGAGGTGGGCATCCTTTTGAAGGAAAAGATTGTTTCAAAATTACTAACACAAGCCTGTAAGAGATACTGCTCTCGTACAGTTTGTTTGGATTCTTGTGACAGCCGGATCCTAAGTATTAGATGCGCACACGCTTCTTGAACTGTCACGAAACCGGGGTGTGATGGAAGCACAGGATGGGAGGAAGGACATAGAAATGTAGGTGACTCAGTCAAGTCAGCTTCTGTGTAAACCTACAACTTGAATTTCCTGTAGGGTCTGTTGCTGCAAATGGCCCCGTCTCCTTGGTTGATAGTAAGGTTTCAGATCCCAAAACCAATGGTGACAGCCAGCAGCCCCCCTCCGCCGGCCTCGCCCCGAGCCCCGCGCCCCACGGGAGCGCCTACCACAAGCAGCTGGCGGCCCTGAACTGCTGCGTGCGGGACTGGATAGTGAAGCACGTGAACGCCAGCCCGCTGTGCGACCTGACGCCCGTCTTCAGGGACTACGAGAGGTACCTGGCCGGCATCGAGCAGCAGCGCGGCGACAGCGGCGGCAGCGACCCCGTCAAGGAACCCAGCAAAGTGTCGCTCGACGCCCAGCCTCCTGCCCCGTTTGGTGCAGCCAAGTCACAGCAAGAGTCCCCATTTTTGTTCCCTGGCGACAGGCGGGAGGAGGGCACCCCCGAGAAGAAGACAGAGGCCGTGCCCGAAAACAAAGCGGACCCGTCGCCCGGAGCAGCAAGTGCCTCGTTTAATTTCGGCAAGAAGGTCGACGGTTCTGTGTTTCGCTTGTTAAACTCGAGCCCCCTGGCTGGGTTTTCCCTTCCTTCTGGAAACTCCAGTTTATTTGGCAAAGACACCACCCAGAATAAACCAGTTTCTTCGCCGTTTTCCATTCAGACGGCGGAGAGGCAAGCGGACGGCGGCAGTGCTGACTGCAAAGGTGAGCGTCCGGCTGGCCCCGGGTCCCCGTGGGTCCTCGTGAGCCCTGCGCGCGGCCCCTTCCAGCTGTGTGGGGTCCTGGGCCAAGTCGGCCAGCCTTTCTTTATTTTACGTTACTTTTCTTTAAAGTATATTCTTTTTTTTTTTTTTTAAGATTTTATATATTTATTTTTAGAGAGGGAAGGGAGGGAGGAATGGAGGGAGAAAGAGAGAAACATCAATGTGCGGTTGCTGGGGGCCATGGCCTGCAACCCAGGCATGTGCCCTGATTGGGAATCGAACCTGTGATGCTTTGGTTCACAGCCCGTGCTCAATCCACTGAGCTACACCAGCCAGGTATTTTATGTTACTTTTTAATTTTTATTTATTGATTTGAGAGGGAGAGACATCAGTGTGTTATTCCACTTACTCATGCATCGTTGGTTGATTCCTGTATGTGCCCTGACCAGGGATCGAACCCGCGACCTTAGTGCATCCAGACGAGGCTCCGACTGCTGGCCGCTGGCCAGGGCTTGAGGGGCCTCTTTGAGCCTCTGCCTCCATATTCACACAGTGGAGCGAGGCCTATTTTGTGGGGTCGTTATGAGGAGTAAGAATATAGAAAAATTAAGAATATGAAATATTGTGGCTCTGAAAAGTATTGAACACATAGCTTTGCATATAAAAAAAGCTCAGTAAATTAACATATGTTGAAAAATTGTTCTCTATTCCACTGAATTGTTTGTATTTAGGAGATTTGGTTATAAATAAAGTCCCATAACAAAGCAGTGACATTAAATTTAAAAGGTGGACTTTTCATAGCCAGGGGAAAGACGTTAAATGTCTTCCCAAGACCTATCCGGGTTGCACCCTCCATTCCAGAAGTTTCTGCTATGTGCAGTGTCAGGGTCCCCAGCGAGGCGAAGAGTCTGGATCGTAGTCCCAGCCCCTCCACCCCCTCCGCGGCTCTGAGCTCTCTGAGAAGGCAGGGCTGTGTCACCAGCCCCTTCCTGCCTGGTGGCTGGGAGCAGCGGACCCCGGTGCAGGGTGTGGGTGCAGGGTGGGGGCGGCAGGGGTGCCCCTGTCAGGTGGGAGTGACATGTGGATCCGAGAAGGGAAACCACAGTTGGTGGCACAGTTTTTACAAACTGCGTTTTCCCCTGGAGCTCCACTTCGTTACTGTCCAGCCCGTGCTCCGGCGGGGGCTGTCGGGGCCCACCGTAGGTGAGGGTCTCCGTTTGTGCTTCCCCTCGGCCCTGGGCAGGATGGACGGGGAGCGGCCGAGGCTGAGGCCGTCCCAGGGACGCGAAGCTGGTGCTGGTCGGGGGGCGTGGCGTTGGCGTTGAGCCCTCGCCTCTGCAGGAAGGCCCCCCCTCCGTAAAGCACTTGGTGCTCACCTTGTGCCTGCCACCTCGGGTGCACCAGGAGGACGGGGGAAGCTTGTCGAAGCCCGGAGGACCCAGCCGGGGGGAGGGGGGGGGCCGCTCGGAGAACGGGGCTCTCTCTCCCAGAAGGGGGCGCCTTCCCTGGATCTGGGGCTCGTGCGCGTGCCAGAGCCGTTTTTCCAGGGGCCGCTTTTCAACTTAGGGTTTGTGGGGCTGCCTTTCTCTTTGGGGGGTGGGTGTTTGCATCTAATGCGGGGTCTTGAGAGCTCCCCTGTGCTCGGGGCGCTGGTGGGCAAAGGAGCAGGAGGCGCCGTGGCTCAGCGGGGCGTGGGGTTGCAGAGGCCTTTGAGGCCAACGAGGCTTCAGTGGCTTATTACCCTTGGCCTGGAGCTGATTTCGCGGGCGGCTCGGACGGCTCGCCCTGTGAACACCCTTTCTGCTTCCCATCTGACTGGTGGTGGCGTCCCTTGGTGCGGTGCGGGCGTAGTCACAGGACATCGGGGGTGAAGGTGTCAGAGCCTGTCAGAGGCTGCAGTTTCCCAGTGGTGATGGGAACGCACGTGAGAGCTTGTTGCTGGCCCGTGTGCCCAAAGCCCCCGCCGTCAGAGGTGGGCGTGAGGAAGGGTTTACTGGTCTTGAAGGTGCCAGCCGAGACAGTGGGGGACCAGTCCTCAAATCCATCCTCAGAAAGTGCGGAGTTCGCCTTCTCTTAGGGGAGGGGAGGGGAAGGGGGAGGGGCTGGAGGAGATGGGCGCCCGCCCGCAGGGGTTGGAGGGAGACTGTGCTCATCGGTCTGCTGACCCCCGTGGATGTGAGTCGGTCCGGAGGTTCCTGCCGCTCTCCGGGGAGCAGTGCGTCCGTCCCCCGCCTCCCGGGAGAGGCGCTTTGGGGCGAGGGGCTGCTCCTGGGACACTCCAGCCTGGAGCGGAATTGCTCCTCGGTCAGCGCGTCCGCAGCAAAGCGGAGTGGGCGCTCTGAGCCCGAGGCCGCAGAGCAGAGCCGGCGGGGAGGGGATGGGGTGGGAGAGGCCGCGTGGGTCACGCTCTTACGGGGTGACTGAGTTTCTCCTTTGAAAGTTTGCGTACACAATTATAAGCAAGGATGTTTTGTCATTCCAAGGCTTTCTACAGGTTAACAGTTGTTTTAGAAAAGTATGTTCCCATTAAAAATTGTTCTCATTTTTCACAAAACAATGAAAATCCAGTGGGCGCATCCCCACCCCCAGAAAACTTGGTGTCAGCTCACATGAAATGTTTAGGTTGAAATGGGGGGTAGATAACAAACTTCCTTTGTCACGGTTTCAAGCTCTTGGTTTGAATCTTGCTGAGTTGGTGTTGTTTTTATGAAAGGTGGAGATGAGGAAGAAAATGATGAGCCGCCCAAAGTAGTGGTTACAGAAGTCAAAGAAGAAGATGCTTTTTACTCCAAAAAGTAAGTGCTACTCAGAGGGATCCACTCAGCGACTGAGTTTCAAACACGGGTGGGCTTCCGGCTGGAGGGTGCTGGGGCGACCGTCCCGCAGACTTCCCGAGCACCCCGTCTCTCGGCACTGGGGCCTGCTCTCGCACTGCAGCCAGGACGGCTTCTCGGAGGTCCCTGCTGGGCGGAGCCTGCCCTCTCCTGCCCACGCAGCTCTTTTCTGCGTTGGAAGGGCGATAGCTGGGCCTTTTCTCTGCCTTCCGCCCCCAGCTCCTCTGCCTCCCCCATCCCTTTGTTTTCTCCTCCCTCCTCTTCCTCCTCGTGGTCCCCCGGGAGGGAAGTCCCTGTCACTGAAGGCAGGTTCCGCTTCTGCTCTCATCCGGAGGCGTCCCTGGCGCACCTGGGTCCCCTCGCACCTCTGCACACTCGTCCCCTCCCAGTAAGGGTGTGAGAGCACTGTCGTCCCCTCGACGGGAGCTGCTTCGTCCTTCAGCGTACTCGGGTGCCGTGGGTCAGCACTCTGATGCAGGTGCCAGGGTGCAGCTCCCCGCCGCGTCCCCTGTGGGTCCCCTGTGGGTCGCACTGCATGCCCAGCGCCCAGGTCGGACCCCTTCCGGCAGCCTCGGTCCGGCCTGTTTGTGTTACGCGCGAGCTGCCGCTGTCGGACGGAAGCAGGGGGCGGGAGGTCACCTGCTGTCAGGTTCTCACGGCAGTGAGAAGAGATTAGCACTGTTAGCACGCGCTTGCTGCAGACCGTCTTTGCCATTTTGGAAGCTTCCCTAGATGTAGTTTTCTAACCGGAAATGTTGGGACTAATGAGTCAGCAGTTCCTGTAACACAAATCGTCGTAGCCCGTGAGATTTTCAAGTGGCCATGACTTCTGAGAACTTTTAAAAGAAGTCAGCCATTCTGTTGCCTGTTTTTAGAATTTGATCACACGGATGACACAGAGGAGGGCCAGCTGAGTGTTCTTTTCTAATCAGAGTGAGCGCCGATTGGGGCGCAGTGGCTTCGGTCGGGCTGTTGGTGGCCGCAGGGGCTGGGAGGCGCGGCGGCCGGGAGACGCCTGACCGCGCTGTCGTGGATCAGGGAGACCGGGAAGTCGTGGGAGCCCAGAGGAGAGCTCGGAAGCGGGAAACGGGGGGGGGGGGCCGGGGCAGAGCGTGGGTCCTGTGCTGGTCCCGGTCTCTGGGGGCCGGGCTGGGGTGCAGGGTGCTCGGCCGAGGTTTTGGCGGACTCGAGAAGGGGCGGGTTTGAAAAGTGATATTAAATAATGTGTCGTGGGACACCATGCCCCTCCCCTTTCTTGGAGAATAAATAAAAACTTTATTCTCTAAAAATAAAATCATTGTTCCATGGGGCCCGCTGTCTAAAACCGTGACGAAACGGGAGGGGCTCTGGACGAGGGGTACCAGCTGCTCCCGCTCTGGGCGTGCCTGGGCCGGTCGGCGGGGGTTCTTCTCGGGCACCACAGTGCGCACTAGAAAACCGAGACTCGGTTTGTCCTCGTGTGTCTGACGGTACCCGTTCTTTTCCTCCGCAGGTGTAAACTATTTTACAAGAAAGACAATGAATTTAAAGAGAAAGGCGTGGGCACTCTGCATTTGAAACCTACAGCCAGTCAGAAGACGCAGCTCCTGGTGCGAGCAGACACCAACCTCGGTGGGTGCCTCCTCCCACGGTCGGCGCCAACCTGTCCTGGCCACTCGGCCCGCAGCGCGCACCTGCCCTCCCCCCGCCCCCTCCCCCCCGGCCTGGCCCAGCCCCTTGGGCCGTCGAGCGTGCGCATGCGGTCTTGGGGGAGAGGGGGTCGTTGGGGCGGACACACCCTGTGGGGCGTCCGGGCTGCCTCGAGCGCCGCAGGGACGGTGTGTGGGGCGTGTGCACTGCGGCCAGCGCGGTGCTCATGCCCCTTTGTGTCAGACTCGTTGCCGTCGGGCTGTGCGTAAAGTGGACAGTTCAATAAACACACGAGGGGATTAGTCATTTAAAGGAACCCTTTCTGTATAGCAAATAGTCATTAGTCCGCCCCTCAGCCCATGCCCCAGCTTGGCCCTGAAAGCAGCCCACCGAAAGGAGGGGAGTCCGGGGCAGGGGCGGGCAGATCTGGGGGGGGGCGGCGGGCCACGCCGGGCTGGGCTCAGAGTGAGACTTCCGGACACTCTGTCTTTCCTGTGAGCTTGACTGGTGTGTGACCTGTCACGGTGGTGCCACTCTGACCCAGTGGGCCGTGGCGGCCCCTGGGGACACTCGTCTCTCCGCCGACCACTCTCCCGTGCGCCTCTCGGTGGCGACTCCGGGTTACGCTGGCTGCTGCTCCTTCGGGACAGGAGTGGGTGGGCTGCAGGGGCGCCGTGGTCGGCGGAGGCGGCTCCTCCGCAGCCAGGTTGAGCCCCAGTCCCGCCAGTGGCCTTGTGGGCCTCTCAGGACACCGTGTTGGACCACACCTGCTTTCGTGACATTCCTGTGGCCCCCGTTTCCGGCCCAGGAAGCGCGTGGCCGCGGTGTTCAGTGTTGAGCCTCCGATGGCTCCGTTCCCACGGAGCGCCGGCCGGCCCGTGTGACCCGGGTGCTGTCTTGCAGGTAACATTCTGCTGAACGTCCTGGTCCCTCCCAGCATGCCGTGCACCCGGACGGGGAAGAACAACGTGCTGATCGTCTGCGTCCCCAACCCGCCCGTGGACGAGAAGAACGCCGCCAGCCCCGTGACCATGCTGATCCGGGTCAAGACCAGCGAGGACGCAGACGAGCTGCACCGGGTCCTGGTGGAGAAGAAGGGCGCCTGAGGGCCCGCGGCCTGGGGACCCCGCGCCGCCGCCCGCTAGTTAGCTCTCCTCCTCCTTCCGCTGACGTGCTCGGCACTCTTAGGTGACTTAAAACTTTTGTGAGGAAATCAGTATGGCCAATAAACCTTTAACATTTAGTGTCAAGAAACTACTCTGCCTTCTTGAGAGCTATCTGAGGTGTAAGATACGTTAGAGAGCAATTTCGGGAGAGATTTTACGTTCATTTACTAAACCAGCCACAAGTGAATTCTTACGGACTGAATCAGGGTACCGATTGGATCTGCAAAGGCTTTCCGGACCCGCGGTGCGGGCGAGGCCTCTGGCGGCGGAGCGCCCGGGGAGCCCGGCCCGGAGCCGCCTCCCCCCTCCGCGGGCCCGGCTGATCTGCGAGGACAGCGCTCTCCCCACGTGAGCCGCGCCGGGACCACCGGCCTCGCTGCCTCCGAGCGTGCCTTCCTTCCGGGCTGCCTCTGCATCGGGGGCCGCGCCTCCCCTTCTGCGTGGGGCTGCTGGGCGGCGGCCACGGGCTGCACCCTGGAGGCTGCTGCCTGGGACCCAGGACCTGCGGCTTCATTTCAGAAGGAAACCCGTAGCTCGCTCTTTGGTTTGCAGTTGTGTTCAGAGGTGCCGTCACTTGTGTACCCACCCCCCAGTGACAGGCGGGGGGATGGCCGGGAAGGAGGTTTCAAAGCACAAGTGCCGTGGCGCTGTAAACCGCGGGCGTGAGCCCCGTGACGCCGAGTGGGTCGGAGGGAGAGCGTGCACGGAAGGCAGTGAGTGTGTGTGGTCACCTGCACCGGGGCCGCCCGGTGGGCCTCAGAACTGCTCTCTGCTCAAGTCCCGGGCGCGCTCCTTGTACACGAGCCGTGGGACTGCGCCAGGAGGCACGCGGTGTGGCCGTGCAGGAGAGTGGGGTGCCGAACGCTGCCTCTCACTCCCACGCCGGGCTGCTCGGCGTCCGACCTGAGGCCCCCGTTGGTCAGGACGTCCCCGGGAGGGGGAGGGGCCGGGGTGGGCCGAGAACACCGGGTGTCTCCTCCGACGTCAGGTCCCCGGTACTGGCGTCCTTGGAGGACCGGGCGCGGGAGTTGCTGTGAACTGCAGCGTTGGGGTCCGTTTCCAGGAACCTTCGGTGCCGGCAGCGGGTGGGGGGGTCTTGTTCAGTCAGGCTCAGGGCCGGTGCCTGGGGGCTCCCACTCGCGTGTTCCGATCTTCGGCACGCTTCTCCTGACTCAGAAAGGAGGGGTCCAAGCAGTTGTAGATAGTGCAGGTGCTTTTTAAAAACTATGGCTTTTAGATGTAAAGGGGGCAGGGAAACTTAGGATCAGATGTGTTTACCATGAGATTCTTGCCCGAGGCTGTTTCTTAACGGCGACGTGAGCGTGGGGCCCAGAGTGGGTGGCCTCGGGTGAGCCCACGCGGAGCGAGTGGGGTCCGCGCTGTTGGGTGTGGGAGCCCGAGGGACGGGCGGCAGAGGTGTCTGCTCGTGCTCCGGGGAGTTGGGACCGCTCGTGTCCTCCTGCTGCAGGTGGTTGATGATGAGCACGGGGTCGACCCTGCCCCTGCCCCGTGCATCCAGGTGGGTCGGCTCACCCAGCTTCTGGAAGGACGAGGAGGCGGGGCAGACCGGGACGGGTCCGGCTCAGCCGCCCGTGCCCGTCCCGCGGGATGCAGACCTGGGCAGGCAGGCGCTCCAGGCCCCTGCAGCGCTCGCCGCTCCGCCTGTGAGCCTGGGCCTGAGGCCGGTGTGCAGCTGGGGGGCTGGGGCGCCCCGTACTCCCCGTGCCTGTGGTTCCCCCCTCTGTCAAGCAGTGACTGTGTGGCTTTTCTTCCCAACATTCCCAGCAAACTCGCTGCTAAGACTCACTGTCACAGTGAAATTACAGGGGAAAATGTGATGTGTAGACCACAACTCAAAATGTGACGTTCTCCTAGAACGCTTGCACTTGGGAATCGGGTGGTGCCCACTTAAAAGTGTGCACTGTTGCGCAAGGGCCTCCGGATGCACGGGTGTTCTGCCAACCCCACGTCCTCGCGTGGTGCCGGCGGAGGGCCCTTGGCCCCGGAGGGCAGGGCGGGCTCACGTGTTCTGCCCCAGCGTGCTGACTGCTCGTAACAAAGTGTCAGGTCTCCGGAAGGGCTCAGTGTGGGCCGAGACCCTCACCTGTGGTTGGAAGACCTATAACGTGGGCCGCATGCGGGGCCCGAAGGGACGGGGACCTCCCTTCTGCCCCAGATTGGGCAGGGGCACCTCGCTGAGCATCCCGGTGGGCTTTCCTCGAAGAGGCGTGTGTCGGTCCCCCCTTCCCAGCATTCCCAGCGGGCGACACGTGGGCCGCGTGCCGTCCTCCTTGGCCAGTTCCTGGCGGGAGGCGTGTGCCCGAGGCTCTGCGGCGGGTGTTCACGGTGCACTTTCCCTGGAAGGGCCCGTCTGGCCGCGGCGGGTCTGGTTTTCTTTCGCAGCGACTGCCGCACCACTCCAGTTTCCAAGTCGCCCTTCACGACGCTGCCTGCCAGAACGCCCACCCGCCGTCCCGCCTTCCTGGTAGTTCCAGCAGCGAGTGGCTCACGGGGAGGGCCGGTGTGGCTTTGTCTTAAAGGTCAGGGGTCCTGTGTTCTGGAGGTTGGGTAATCCTTCCGGAACAGTCCACATGCAAGCGCCGTGCCCTCAGAGACGTTGGAGACGAAGCGGCTCCCTCCCACACGCCAGTGTCTGTTCTCGTGGGAGGGAGACGTCGGAGCAGAAACGGGCTACCCCGTGGCGGCAGCAGGCGGAGGGGGGAGCCCGCCGCGCTGGGCGTCCAGCCTCGCAGGGTCCCACGGGAAGGACTGAGCAGCCTCCTTCTGCGGGCACAGTTGTAACGGAGCCGGAACACTTCCTAGCAATCACATGGAGAAATTGTGCGCTTTCTATTTTAAAGAGGAAACTGTTTTTTAAGTACTTGAATTGTCAGACAATGTAATTCCATTTGTATTAGATTTCGAATGAGCCCACTGAGGAAGTGGAACGGCCCAGGAAATGTGAATAAACGACCAGGAAACGAAAGCCCAGCGTCTGGCCAGCACCTTCTTCCGCGGCGCCCCCGGTGGTCACGGCAGGCTCTGCAGGCGGGCAGCAGGGGCCCTCTTCCCAGGCCCATGCGCCCGCTGGTGCAGGCCGCTTCCAGACTGCGGACCGGGAGTTTGTGGGGTTCGCGTGGGGACGAGCTAGAGTGGGAGTAGCAGGGCCTCCGCCGGCTGCTACCTGAAGCGCTGTGGTGGGCATTTTACGTCTACTACCCGGTCTTGTCCACGCGGCGGGCCGCCCGAGCACGTGGGCCCTGGGGCGGGCGTTCCGAAGGACGGAGTCTGGGAGTGCTGTTGCCTACAGGTCAGAGTAAGTGGACTTGGACCTGTGTCCGCATCCCTCGGGGTCAAAATCCTGAGCCCTCTCCAGGACATTTTAGAACTAAGAGGATCGCAATTATCAAGACAAAACATACTTTGAGTTTGTGTAGCTGTAAAGGGCTCAGGGACTTAGGAAACCACCACGGAGGCGTTAACAAGGACAGTGTCAGGAGCCAGGCTCCTGCCTGTTTAACGAAGTTTCCCCAGCAGTTTGGCGTGGAGCTGGTTTGCGAGAGGTGGGCCCTGATGAAGGACCTATTGCAAAGACGTGCCCCGCCCATCCAGGTGTTCCTCCCGAACTGCCACCTCCTCGTGGAGGTGCTGCTGTCGGGGCTCCGCTGGGCGGCTGGGCCGGAACAGGCCCCCACACGGGTGCGGGCGGGCCCCAGACGCAGCAGCAGCCCCGGGGACTCGGACAAACCGGGCCCCGCCCAGCACCGGGTCGGGGCCGGCCTGTTTCACCAAGCGGTAGCTCACAGACTGTAACATTCATTGTCCGATGCGATCATTGTCAGTACATCCACGGAGTTGTGCCACCGTCCCCACCATCTAATCCCAGAATGTTTTCTGGGTCTGAACAAGTGGTTTCTGATTCACACTTGAATTTGAGAACCCTCTGGCCACCTCTGTGCTCCCTACACAGACTTCTGTTGAAAGGTGCCCCAGGACAGCCCCGTCGGGCACCTGGCGGGGCGGGGGGGGGCAAGCAGCCGTGACCACCGGACTGCGGGACTGGGCCAACCCCGTGCGCACGTCTCCCGGGAACCTGGTCGAGCCCAGGAAGGTAGGTGGTGGCGGTTCTGCCTCAGAGCCGAGAAAACCCAGCCGGCGGGGCTGGGCCCGCGGCCCACGGGCTAGCCGCGGCTCGCCAGGAGGGTCGCCAGGCCGATGGATGATGCCGGGCTGCCGCCTGGAGGCACACGTGTGCCCGGGAAAGGGCGCGACTTCTTCGGCTTCCGGCATCGCCTAAGACATTTTGAACCAAGTGGTTTACTTTAAAACGTGGTCATGAAAACTCGCTAACAACCGTGGCGGTTTCAAACTGAGCCATCTAACTTTTATTCAAGTCGGATTCCAGGACGAAAGGCCCTTGGTCCCCACACGGGGGAGGAGGCTTGTGAACCCTGTTGGCTCCAGCAGGGGCCACGTCCGGGGGGAAGGGGTGCAACATGAGGCTGTGAGCGAAAGGAATCTCTCATCATCACCACCCCCAGGCAAACACCGTCCCTTCCTCACATCAGTTACCCAGCTGTCGGTCAGTCGGACAAAGCCCAGCGTGTCTGCACGCTCAGCTTGTGCACGCCTCCACCACGGGCCGTGTGGTGTGCGGGTTCGGTTCCTTTGCCCACCCCCCGCCCCTCCCGGCACGAATTTCCCACCGCTGCTCCCTCCCGGGCGGCGTCCCATTCTGAGCGGGGGCGTGACGGTGCTTCCCGAAAGTCCCTCTGGGTCAGAACTCGTGAACCGGAGCAGGTCACCCCTGGGCCACAAACAGGGACGCGGTTCTTGTAGGCGGCTTCTAGGGGAGACCGTCCCCAAACAGCAAACATCCCCCCCCACCCCGGAATGGCAGAAGCTTGGAAGGACCTCCTGGTTCCTAACGAGAAGGGGTTTGAGCAGGGCGGCCAGGAGGCCGTCTTGGTAGTCTGCTGACCGGCCGACCCACCCCCTTCACCACCGCCCACCGCCCACCGCCCACCGCCGTCTCACTGTCTTCCCGGGGCTGCCGGGCGGGAGGTTCCGGCCGCAACGTTTCTTATGCGGTTGGTTTCCGGGCGGGGCCGACCTGACGTGGCGTCCCCCGCCGAGCTTCAGGTGTGCCTGTGCTCCTCTCCGCCCTCCCGCCCTCCCTCGGGCCCCCCCTCTGTCTGCAGGGCCCACCCCCACCGCCCACCTGTGGAACGGAGGGCAGGTGACCACGGGAGGAGGAGCCCACAGAGTGAGAAGGGCTTGCAGCTGCTTCGGTCCGTGGGCCCCGCAGGGCCAGGTGCTGGCGGTCGGCCCGAGTGACCGCAGAGCAAGGCATCGGAGAGCCCACGGCCCCCAGTCCATCTTCTGTAGGACCAGGCGGCTTGCTGGGCGCCCGCCAACACTCGAACTCGGACCCTGACTGTCACCCTAGCCACCTCCCCCCTCCCCCCGGGCAGGGCTCCCGGGCGGGCCGGCTGGCTGGGCACAGCCCGGGGAACCTGACGCACGCTGGGAGGCCGCACCCGCCTCACGGGGGCTGGAGCTAAGACTGACGTGCACCTCTCGTGATTTAACTTTGGAAACACGGCGTCTGACCCCTTGTGGACTCCAGGGTGGCCGAGGCCCGGGTGTCCGGTGGTTTCTGTGGAGTCGCCAACGACCGTTCCGCACAAGCAGCTTGCGTGAGCACGCCGAGAGACGTTTAGGAAATCTTTGGGGGGAAAAATAAGGCCCAATGGCTAAGTTACCATGTTGCTGTAATATCTGTATTTCACATGAAAAACCCCATTAGAGAAAAAAAATAAAGTAGCTAGGTACAGTTTCATTAGAGGGAGATTTGGAAGAAAAAAAGGTAATATTCAACATGCAAGTCAACTTTCCACAGAAATGCACACTCCTGGGCACACCCAGAGCCAGCCACGAACACAGTTTAGAGACGGCAGGGCTGATCAGTCCGGAGGCCGCCGCCACGTGGTGGGAAAGACCTGACGATTCGGCCCGGAAGACCCCGGTGGGCCACCGGGGGGCTCTCGCAAAACTCGAGTTTGCAGAAACCACTTCAGTCGCGCTGCTCGAAGTCGTGAAAAACCTCAACAGGTTTCCTGGCAGGTTCCGCGATGGCAGGTTCCAGCCTTCTCCTACAGAGAGGGTTCGCTAGGAAAGCGTGGCGGTTTCGCATTTACGTCCGAGTCGCCCAAGCCCCTGTGAAGCAGGGACCCGTGGACGAGGAAGGTGAAACCGTGTGTCCAGCGCCCGGCAGAGGGGGAGCGGGGCAGTCGCTTTAGGTCTATGGGCCGAGGCCGGGACGCGCCAGCGAGATCCCGGGCTCGCCTTTGAGGGCAGAAAACTGTAAACACACACACTCTCTTCGTGGCTGTGGCTCCCCGCTCACCTCCCGCACCAGAGGTCCTGCCCACTCGGTGTTCAAGTGACCCGGCTCCTATGTGGGGTGTTCCCAGGGCTCCAGGGCTCCCGAGACGGGCAGGGGGACTTCATTCCAGGGAGGACCGCGTCGGTGCCAGGCCCGTCGGTGACAAGGGACAAGGAGGCCCTGGCACACCCGACGCCCACAGGTGGTCTCCTGGGAGGGACCGGGTGGGGCCCAGGCCGCCTGGCCCCACGAGCTCCCTTCCCGGAAGAGTGCTGTGGGCGCCTCGGAAAGCCCTTCCCTTCAGGAAGGTTCAAGGCCCAGATGTCAGTGTCTCGGAGTCCGTGCCCTGCGAGGGTGGGTTTTTACGGAGAGAAACAATTCTGTCTTCTGGGACCAGGACGAGAGGGGGCCCGATCAGGAAGAACCAACGTAATGCCCAGAGATACTGGCTTTTGATGCTGAATAGAAAACTAAATTCTGGCTAAACTGGAAAACCGAACAGGATATGTATATATAAATGAAACCTACTGTTTCCTTGAAAAGCTAACGCATGTGCAATATGCAAGCTTTTCGGGAGTTCTGGCCGGCGATTTACAGCCACGTTAGGACAACATGGGATGTACTTCCCCAAGGCCGGCTGCTAGGCCACACCCTGCACAGGGGCTGCCCCCAGGAGGTCTGGTAAGGGAGAGAAGACTTTATTTCATCCTTCAGAAGTCAACTAAATAGCCTTTTTGTGACTGGGACAACAAAACTAGATCCTGGGGTAACTCTAGCCAGATCCTTTGGGGGACAAATCTCACTGGGAACACGCCTTTCATCTGTCCGCCGGACGGACACCGCGCCGAGGCCCGGTGACCCACTCCGCCCCCCAGACAGGCTGGCGGGAGCGCGGCTGCGACTCGTGGGGAGACGCCCCTGCCTGCGGGTGGGCGGGCTGTGGGCTGCGGCGAGTCCCTGGGGCTCCGTGTTTTCTCCGAGTGCGCCTCTGGTCCTCGAGTTTCCAACGCTCTTCGTCCCGTGAGGACACAGGAGCCTCGGCTGTTCCCACAGGCCCTGGGGGTCCCAGCGAGACGCGGGAACGCAGACTAAACACCGCCCCGCCTTTCCGGGGCCCGAACGTGGTGAACGGTCATTGTCCCTGATCAGACTGTGCCCAGGACACTTCTTCAAGTGAAAAACGAGAGACAACTTCCTTATGAATGTCCTACAATGTGGCACCTAGGTCTCCTCAAAGCCCAGCTGTTCTTTAACCTCAACTCCCATGTGAGGAGTGTATGCCTGCTTCGCCACTGCCGAGTGACACTGGGGACAGGTGTGTCCCCAGAAAACTAAAGGTGGCCTCGCAGGAAGTGAAAATGTATCAGTGCCAGGACCCATCAGGGCGCTGGGGCTCTGGTGCTCGCTCGTCCTGTCACTTGTGACTTTGTTCCCGATGCCACCTGTCGCTTTGAAAAGACAAACCTCAGGGACAGCTCAGGGCCTACAGAACAGCCCTGGGCGTGGTTTCCGGAGGGTTTACGGACAGAAAGGCGGACGCCGCTGCAGGTCGGCCCCTCTGTCCCGAGGAGCAGTGCCAGGGCTCGTTGTCACCTGGG